TAAAAAACTTGGCCAAGGTCACAAAGCAGTAAGTGATGGATCAAGGATTTAAATCCAAGCTCCAGAATCCATACTTTTAACCTTTACCTAGCCTTTACAAACAGTAGGCACTGAATTAATATTCATTTTTATTTACTTTTTAAAACTAAAAATTTAGGAGGCTTAAGGTACTTACCAGGTATTCAACAATCAATTTCTATTAGTTTAACTGGCTTTCCCCTTAATACCTACAGAAGATCATCATCACTAAGAAAAGGAAATAAGAAATTGGAAAATGTTGAAATCTAAACTTCAGCTATTCAGAGGTCCTGGATCCAAAAAGGGAAGAATTTCTATTCCTTCTCTTCTCTTCGGAAATGAATGCTGAATCCTCTCTAAGTACTAGTTATTCACTAAAAATGTTTTTTTTTTCTAGTACTGTGCTTAAGCAGGAGAGAAGACAAGATAAATTATAATTAAGACAGACTACTGCCTCAAAGATCTTAACATCTAGTTTACAAATACTGCTACATCAAATACGAGATGAAACAAGGAAGCTTTTCTGGGCCAATCTAGGATTTTAAGCTTTAGAAAAGTGGAATTTAGATAGCATTTTTCCATTAAAAAACAAACAAAAATATTTGCAAATGAAACTGAGGAAACAGTCTAATTCTGAAATTTTTTTTTCCTCCCTCATTTTCTTTTTTTCTTTTTTTTGAGAGAAGAGTCTTGCTCTATCACCCAGGCTGGAGTGCAGTGGCGCAGTCTGGGCTCACCGCAACCTCCGCCTCCTGGGTTCAAGAGATTCTCCTGCCTCAGCCTCCCAAGTAGCTGGGATTACAGGTGCCTGCCACCATGCCCAGCTAATTTTTTTGTATTTTTAGTAGAGACAGGGTTTCGCCATGTTAGCCAGGCTAGTCTCGAACTCCTGACCTCATGATCCAACCACCATGACCATCCCCATCCAAAGTGCTGGGATTACAGGCAGGAGCCACCACCGTGCCCAGGCCCTCATTTTCAACTCTTTTTCCATCTGTAAACAGATCCTTCCTCGCCTTACAAATTTTTTCAATACTAATTCAGTACTAATTTACTTACTGGCTCACTTTTGTCTAAAATTTCTTCCCTAGGCTTATCTCTTGATTTAGTCACAGGTTACTTACAAAAACAGATGAAATTCTGATCAACTTCTACTGTATTTAAACTTTATACATCTTCAACAAAATTGTTTCTCCCTGTTTGAATTCTGCTTTAGGAAATACTAAGATCACAGGGCCCAGTGGCTCATGCCTGTACCCGGCACTCTGGGAGGCCAAAGCCGGCAGATCACCTGAGGTCAACAGTTCAAGACTAGCCTGGTCAACATGGTGAAACCCTGTCTCTACTAAAAATACAATAATTAGCCAGGTGTGGTGGCAGATGCCTATAATCCCAGCTACTCAGGAAGCTGAGGCAGGAGAATCACTTGAACCCGGGAGGCAGAGGTTTCAGTGAGCCGAGATCATCCCATTGCACTCTGGCCTGGGCAACAAGAGCAAAATTCTGTCTCCAACAACAACAACAACAACAAAATACTAAAATCATTCATATTCAAAAATGCATTCAATAGAATGCAATGTTATTTCTGAAATAAAGTATCAATTCTTGAAAGTATAAGATTTATTTTCTTGTAATAGTCGAGTAAGCAATTCAATTAATTTTGTCCACTAATAAGAAAGAACGTTATGGCTTTTATGTTAGAAAATATATTTGTATTTTCCATATTGGTCAGTTACTCACTGAAAGCCAAGAAAATTATGCATGTTTGATTTTACAGCTAAGATTTTGTGTCAAATAGAGGGGGAGAGGGAGGCAGGTAGTTCTTGGTCTTGTTTCCAGGTATACCCCAAGTTATGCAAACTATCTAAAACATGATTATCCTATTCTGAAATACTTTTAAGTAAAATCCTATTCTCAGTAATCTAGTCCAAGGTCTAGGAATTATATTCTTACTCTTCAACACTTAAATGAAGTTCTTCTTTAAATTGATTCTCGTTTTCTTCCAGTTTTCCTCTTTTGGCAGATACAGAGATTATTCAGGTAGCATTTATTTATAGCAAAGCTATATATTTTTGTTACATTAAAGTTATCCTTTCATGTTAAATATCACAAAACTATAAACTTTCACATTCCTTTTTAATCTTTCGATAATCTTGAAGGATAATTTTAAAGATCATTTTATCTACTTTTTTTTATTGTGTAGTCTATAACAGAATGAATTAGAGAAAAGACAACACTGTGATTTTAGCACAACACTTCCTAGCTCCAGAAAGTTAAGCTTCTGCTGACATGTCAGTAAAATGGTAATTAAAAGAAAAACACTACACAACTCACCCATTTAGCTTACAGTTTTATTTTTCTTTACTTTAGTCAAAAGATGAAGATAGGGATAGAAACAACCTGTACTCCTTTTTGTCTGCTCATCCCTCATCTGTATAGATTTCTTTTAAGGGGTACACTTTTTTCTTTCGTGAGACGGAGTCTCACTACTGTTGCCCAGACTGGAGTACAACGGCACTATTTCGGCTCCCTGCAACCTCCGCTTCCCGGGTTCAATTCTCCTGCCTCAGCCTCCCAAGTAGCTGAGATTACAGGTGCCCGCCACCACACCTGGCTAATTTTTTGTATGTTTTTAGTAGTAACAAGGTTTCACCATGTTGGCCAGGCTGGTCTCCAACTCCTGACCTCAGGTGATCCATTCTCCTCAGCCTCCCAAAGTGCTGGGATTACAGGCGTGAGCCACTGTGCCCCGCCAATGAGTGTACTTTCTTACATGTTTTTCTCCTGACTCATTTTCGTAACAAATAACAAACCCACTGCTTGCACCACCACGTAAAAGACAGGAGAAGGTACATCAAAAACATAGAACACTACCATAGTTTGTCAAAGTCAACATAACCATTCCTATGTTATAAAAGGAAAACAAACCTGACCCACAAAATAAACATATGTACAAACTTACAGCCATTCTTCATAAGGAATTACTAAAAGTTTTGCTTATTAGGCCATATTCCAATGGACAAAACTACCTAAGTGTGTGAAGTTTGCAGCAGAATACCCCGTTAAGTGTTGCATTCAACTATCATAACCTTGCTCTAAACCAGAGCATACTATTTTTTGGGAGAATTTAAAATTTTAAATGTTGGTATTTTGCCCATAGCTACAGGACTGTGTTACCTTGCTATTCAGTAACTATCTTTCTCAATGTTGTCAGGTGGAGAATAAGAGGAAATAAATTATCACTAAAAAATACACAGGTCTAAGCCATTAGAAAACTTTGATTTGTACTTTTGTTACTACCCACCACAACCACTTTCCTCTAAACCATGTTTTCCTCCTTTTCAAAGGGCTGAATTATCTGTAAAATGTTTCTCACCTTTGAGAATCATACAATTAAATGATTCTAAGTACCATGACAAATTTTATTAGAGATAAGGATCCCAGCACATCTTTCTTTTCCTTGTTTCAAATGCAGCCAGAGTAACACAGTATCCTAAACATCCAAAAAAGCCAATATAAATCTATCAATACAAACCTATTCTCAGAATCCAACAGGCTAAATGGGAATAAAAACAAAGAGTGGCATCTTTTTTCATACAGACTTCAACACTTAACATCTCTACCTACATAACTCAGCCTGAGATAAAAGAGAATCTGGTCTTCTACATGTGTCAAATCCTTTAAAAGGTACTTCTCTATTTCAACAGAACCCAGGATTCAATAAATGCAGTTTTCAGAAAACCAGGCTTGCACCAAAATAAGTTCCATGTTTGTGGAAGAGAATAAATAGGAAGTGGTGCTTCTAGATGAATCAGTTGGTCTCCTCTTAAAACTAAGTTTAAAATCAGCCTTTAAAGCTGTTTTACCTCTGCTGCCTAAGTTACAATTTCCCTCTCCAGATAAAGATTTTTTTCTAGATTCTATTTCAGGAAGGAGACAAGAGAGATGCAAGACAGCTAATAACTAGTAAAGCTAACTCTCAGTTGGTTGTCAGTATGGTATGTTTTACTGAGCCTTTGGGTTTTCAGGGCTTCTTTGAGGAATAAGGTCCTGCAACGCCGCCTGTCTGTGGACCCAGGAAAAATTATAAAGTTATTATGAAACCAGATCACTAGGACAAACCGAGAGGCCTTTCCTATTCCAACTCAACACAACCAGGCCTGGTTCCAAAGCCGACTCTTTGGCTGTCCCATATTATGGGACAACAGGTCCTGAATTAATTCTAACGCACTAAAGAAACATTTGAAGACACATATGTATGTATGTGTAAGGATCAAATATATTTCATCCACTTATAAATGTATATGGTCATTTGTAATAATTTAAAGTTACTGATAAATGTATAAAAGTACAGCATCAGTTCATCCAAAATCCTTGAGAGATTGAGGAAGTGAGGTTACTTCAGCAGCCAGGATAGTGGTGAAAAACCCTGCAGAACAGTATGGAAAAGTACAGCTTCTCACGTGCCCTTCATATACACAAACACTTAGCTCTGAGTCCATTACAACCTTACACCCCCCCCCAAACTATTCCCCTCCACCTCACAACTGAGAGAAGTTGATCAACCTCCTAGTTGGTCGCCAAGAGACTCACCTACCTATTATTTTACTCCTCTCGCTTTGATCTCAATCCCGCCCCAGAATAAGGTGGCCCTACTGACCCCAGGCAGATCACCCCCACAGCGTGTAAACAGGGAACGTAACCAATTCCCTCCATCCTTAACCATGTGAGCCATCCCATGGTAACAGGCTGTTCACCAACTCCGTGAACTCCGTGGTCCTCCCACCCCCACGTGTCAGCTACCCTCCCCCACATTCCCACACCTCACGATTCAGGCCGAGGAAAGAAAGGGGGCAGGCGAAAGCCTGGCCCCTAAGAGATCAACCCACTGGAATCTGTCCCACCGCCAAGTCCCCTCCCACCTTCGGCCCCTATCCCTCACAATCCCTTCCTCCCTCCTTCCTTTGAAACCAGGCCCTTGCCTCAGAAACCTCCTCTTCCTCGTCGTCGTCGTCCTCCTCTTCCTCGCTGTTGTTGCTGCTGGTGCCGCCGCCGCCACCTCCACCTCCACCTCCGCCTCCACCGCCGCCGCTGTTGTCGCTGTCGCTGCTGCTTTCGCTGCTGCTAGGGGGTCGGCAAGTCCGGTTACGCTTGGCCTTGTGGTGCTGCTGCTGCTGCGGAGGCTTCTTCTTCAGGAGCAGGTCGCAGACTCGCACCATCCCATGAGGAGACGAGGCCGAGCGAGCTCCGCTGCTGCCGCCAACGCCGCCGCCGACCTCCGCCGCCGCGGGGGGGGCAGCCACAGCCGCCACCGCCGGGGGGCTCCCTTCTCTCTCTGCAGCCGCAGCCGCCGCCGCCGCCGCCGCCGCCGCCGCCGGAACCGTCGCCTTCTCCATCCCCAGGGAAAGAGGGAGGGCGCGGACGGGGGAGGGGCGTGGGGGCTACGCTCTACCGCGACTCCGGCCGCACTGGGGCCGACACAGCAATCGGTGCCGCCTCTGCCACCACCGCCTCGGTCACCTCTACTGCCGCCGCCGCCGCCGCCGCTCCGCCAGCTCTCACCTCGTCTCGCGATACTAAGGGCGGGGAGTCTGATGACGGGAGGGAAGGAGGGAGGGAGCACGGGAAGGCGGAGTGAGGCGTAAGAGGGAAACCGGGTGTTAGGAGACCCAGAGGAGCAGAGACTGGAAAGACGCCAGGGAAGTGTGCCTGGGGCAGCTTCCGACAGGAAACGGCGGGGACTGATAAGGGGGGGCGCAGTTGCCGCCGGAGCGCCCGCGAGCTACCGGATTTCTTCTCTTGACTCGCTATTTCCCGCACACACAGTCCTGCAGCCTCCCTTTTTCCTTCCTGGCTTGTGACTAGAACGCAGCCGCAGGCGGAAGTGCAGTGACGCCATCAGCCCTCGCCCGGACCGTGGCGCGCGGGTAGCCGAAAGGCGAAAGTGAGATTTCGAGGGCCCCGTGTGGGGCCTCGCGGGCGCGCAGGGCTGCGATGTGTAGAGAGGACGGGGAGGCTGGAGAGGAGCCGACCCTGGGCAGTGTGGGAAGCAGGTGCGGAGGTGCGGTCCAGACACTTTGTTAGCGGGAGGCTGGAGGCTGTCTGCCAGATTCGGGAGGTGGGGGCCTCGTTCTGGACTGCTGAACGTAATTTTATTCCTGGTCGTTTTTTCCGCCGCCAAACAGAGATAGAGCTTTGGATCCTGAGAGATGGCGTTGTGTTGGGGAAAGAACCTTCTTTAACTGAGTTTAAGGTTTGGCTTATAGACATCCTGTACCTGAGTTTACACGTGTGTAATGTGAAGGCAGTAGATGAGGAGATGTCTAAGATCATTGCAACTCAAAGTTCCAAGGGGAGGAAGACACGGGAAGGATGCGTGGTCTGTGCCAGACTTTGTAGACGATTCACCGAATGACCCTGATTTAGCTCTTCGGCCCTCTTCGATTCACCTTCTGTCTATGAAATAGGCATAAATAATGATTATTGTCTGTATCCTTCTCTTGTAAGGACTACTGTGATAGGGTTGTGAGTCCATTTTTAGGTTTCTGAAGAACTTTAAGGAGTTTTGAAATGATAGTGGAGCCCATTGAACTCAGAATTATCCCTTTCTGGTCTAGTAGGAGTATAGTGGCATAAGGAAAATGAAGCAAACATCAAAGACAGATGTACTGGCACAAAATTAAAAGTATGTTTCAGCTGACATAGTTGCCATTTTAAGACTGCTAAGTTTAGCTGAATATGCCTGGAATTTTTTTTTTTTTTTTTTTTTTTAGCATTTTTCTTCTTTTTAGCATTGGCATACCATATGAAATGTGGGCAGTTGCCAGTACTCTACAGAGTACCATGGCAGAATTGGCAATGACTAAATCAGTTCATTCAAACAAAAATTCATCATGTGCCTACTGTGTGCATAATTTGTGAAATCGAAGTCTCTGTTTCAAGGGGCTTTACAGTGTAATAAGTGCTATAGTAAATATGTATACAGAGTGGTAACCATCTGCCTATTCCTCTTCTAGAGTCGTTGCTGAGTTCCAGTGTGGAACAGAACACTGCATTGTGTATCTCACCACTATTGATTTAGATTTTATACTTTCAGCTATCCCTTCCTCCTACTTTGTATATTCTTCAGCGTCTCTTCTCCCTTTCCTCTTGAATACTTTTTGCAGACTTTAAATCTCAGCCCATTTCATTATATGACTTTTAGCTTAGAACTTCACAATTTTTCAAATGCTACAAATATCCCGATATTTCCTTTTCTCCAGCATCAAGGAATGAGAGACTCCCTGTTCATATGTGAGATTAACTCTTCGTACATATTCTAGTTCCAGTTCTCCTCTTTCTCATCCATTTATTATCTTTTCTGTTTTCAACCTTCTACAAATTCTGGTTCCTTAGCTAGGCCTTCTTTAGCTTTCAGTTGTTTCCTTCTCAAGCAAGCTTTCTTTCTTCAAAAAGTATTCTATATTCAGTGTCTTTTTGTTTTCTGAAATTGACTTGTCAGCCCTCTGCAGTCTAGTTTCTGTGTCTATCATGCTACCAAATATGCTCTCTTTAATATCATTGTTTGGAGGAAAATGAGTTTTTGCTCTTTAGTATAATAGTTAAATGATAATCCTATTGGGACTAGCAGGATAAGGTTTAAAACTATTAAAATGGACAAGGCTCATAAAGTGACTTTATTATTATTATTTTTTTTTTTCTAACTTTTTTTTTCCTTTTAGAACCTCTGACAGAGACTGACTAGCCTATGAAACTTATTTCTTCTTCTTGGGCACACAGCTAAACTAAATTTCACAGCTTTCCTTGTGGTTGCTTGTAGTCCTGTAATTAACTTTTTTTGTTTGTTTTAAGATGGAGTTTAGCTCTTCTTGACCAAGCTAGAGTGCAATGGCACGATACTGGCTCACCACAACCTCCGCCACCTGGGTTCAAGTGATTCTCCTGTCTCAGTGTCCCAAGTTGCTGGGATTACAGGTATACACTACCACACCCGAATAATTTGGGGTTTCTCCATGTTGATCAGGCTAGTTTCGATCTCCCGACCTCAAGTGATCCACCTGCCTCAGCCTCCCAAAGTGCTGGGATTACAGATGTGAGCCACGGCACCTGGCTGTGATTGACTTCTAGCCAGTGAAAATATGAATGGAAATGATGTGCTCATTTTTAGGGTTAATGAAGTCCTATTCTCCCCTACTCTTTTTTTTGTCAACTCGATGCCACTGAGCATGGTGACCGTGAAAACGATATATTGGAGATTCCAAAGCCAGAAAAGAGAGGAAGAATGAGTAGCCGAAACACCACTTGGAAGAGAGCCACCCCAATTAGAAACACTTCTTTTTGGACTTCTTATATGAGTAAAAAATTTAGATTTGAGAATTTAAATGCATAGGAGCTAGAATGACCATAGCTAGTCCAGAAATTGGTACCAGAAGTGGAGTACTGCCAAGACAATAACCTAAAGTATGTTACATCAGCTTACTTATGATGCAGCAAGTGGTAGAGAATGTGATTTGGAGGCTGGAAGAAGGAGGCCTGTGTTTTCAATGGCAAAGTAATTAGTAAAACTGTCACCTGGAATAATTCAAAATCAGATCACCTATCTGTTGAGATTAGCTCCAGAAGAAATGATTGAAAAGAGCAAAAGTAATACTATGTGTTGAGTTTTATATTTTACTTTTAATAAGGTTTTACTAAAAAGAGTATACAGGAATATTTCTTTGGAAAGGTTGAAAAAGGTGACTTTTTTTAGACTTCTTACAAAAAAAGCTAGAAGAGATCTTGAGTTACAGTTACCCTTGAGATTAAGTCCTGCAACAAAGATCAGGAAAAGGATTTGGTTTTTCCATTCAACATCATTATTTCAGGTGGCTTCAAGATAGCTATGATAAAGATCTAGAGGAAGTTGCATAGGAGCAGGGAATCAAAGCAGTAAATTAGGCTTGATAATTATGTGAGAAAGAACTTTGGGTATAGTTACTAGAAGCACTTCAATCAGAAGTCTACATTTTTAGAGGAATTTTATTACTAATCTTACTAAATCTGGTTCAAATGTTGTTCAGGTGTTAAAACAGTCGGTAACTATTCAACCTCAGTCTTGCCTAAGTAGAAAATAGAGCATAAAAGCTTAGCAGCTTCCTAGTACCCACATAGAATGTGTCTATGGAGAATGATGGACAAAAAAAAGAACATTTCAGAAGCTCCTATCAGGAACTGTAGAAAAGAATGGACAGGGAGTTTCTCCTGAAAACTAGAATTGGGGTCTCATCAAAACTTTCTTTAGTCTCAAGGAGATGGGCGGCAAAATGCTTATACAGTATTTCATTATTATTATACTACATAATATTAGTGTCATATTTTTCTTTTCTGAATGAGAGTGTATTATAGTTATGTGTCCCTGAGCTACCACTATATATTGGGTTTGCAGGGACAGGGGGTGACAATGAAGACAACTTGTCTTTTTAGTTCTTAGGTTACATCTGTATCTAATGAAGAGAACTGCACATTTTCTGAAAATCCTAGACTTTGAGCCTGTTCCAGTGACTGGGTGAAGCTTTAGATTGTCTCCCTTGGGACAGGATATGTTCTGTGTGTGGAAAGAGTGGTAAAATACATGTTTAGGGATCAGAATAGTGGATGCTTGTACATGCTAAATTCTTCTGGCCACACAGTTGTATTTCCATGCCTCTCTTGCAATTAGGTATATGGGTTAGGTGTGCTAATTAGGTTCTAACTAGTGGAATGTGAGTAGAAGTGATGCGCTCCTATTCCAGCTCTGGACCATGGAAACATCACATGAGCAATCCAAGATAACCCACTCACCACCAACTTGAGGCAGATGAGCAAATTTGCTCTGGAAGCTATGTGTTAAAGATGGCAAAGCCACAAGATAGGACTTCTGGTTTTCTGAATCTTCACTTGGAAGATACTTGCTTGCTAATTAGGGACACTTGTGTTAGAGTTCATATGCATTCTTTTGTGTTAGAGCACAGATTTGAGAGTGTATCCTAATACAGACCTGTCCCTCTTTCTCCAGATGTAATTGCTCATTACGGAATTCTAATTTTATACCACAGGAGTGGGCCCACAAATCAGGCTAACCAAAGTATCCTATCATTCAACCATAGTGATTAGTTTAGGAATGGACAGATTAGCAAAAATGAAGCTAATCAGAGATAGTCTCATCATTTGGGGTAGCACTGTTGAGAAAAAGGCACTTGGCTCTGGAATAAGGAAAAAAAAGAAAACCAAAAGCTGCATGTGACCTTTGATCATCATGTAGGGTGAACCTGCCTAAGAATGAAATCATTACAGGAAAACAGAGGCAGTCTCAGTGATACTGCAGAAGGGGATGATAACCCATGAACTGAGAAATATTTCCTGGGTTTCTACTACAGGTTGAAATTCCAAGAGATAAGGGATAGATACTGCCAGGAAGACTTGGGACTTCAAAAACAAGGAGCTCTCTGAGACTAGAGTCACATCCTGACACAGCTCTTGTCCAATGTACTGAAGTCCTCAGAATCTGTTGGTCTTGATCACTGATGGGGCAACCAGTGTCCCCATTAGTGCCCGGTCAGAAACATACT